TATGGTGCAGCTGAAAGTCTTCACACGCAATTTGGAAACGCACTACCAGGAGTATTGTGATATTCATCGGCAAATCGTCGCTTTGACTCCCGCCGAAAAACTAGTGGACCAGGATGAAACGTACATCCTATTCGAAGACCAACACAACGAGGCTTGCATGTTGGTCGAAACATTAATCCAGTCGATGACCGAGCCGCAACCTCGTCCGATGCCATCGTCCCAGCGAGAAGGGATTCCTCGCATCGTACAGCAGCAACCACTCAAGGCTCCCATTCCCACCTTCGATGGGAAACCCGAGAACTGGCCACGTTTCAAGGCCATGTTTCTCGACGTCATGAGAACATCCACCGATTACGACGCCATCAAACTTTACCACCTTGATAAAGCGTTGATTGGTAATGCCGCTGGAATCATCGACGTCTGCACCTTGAACGAGAATAATTATGCCGGAGCTGCTGGAAGAACGTTTTGAAAACAAGCGGCTCATCGTAGACACACACATCCTGGGGCTGCTTAGCCTGAAGAAAATGAACCAAACAAGTGCCAAGGATCTTCGGGAATTAGTCGACGAAGTATCCCGACACATCGATGGATTGAAGCTCATGGAGGAAGTGATGAACGGTATGTCGGAGCGTTTCGTTGTCAACCTCTTGGCAACAGCTCTGGATGCCAAAACCCGGATGGAATGGGAATCAACCGTTCCCCACAAGCAAATTCCCACGTACAAGGACACGATGGAGTTCCTAAAGAAGCGCTGCGCAATCCTGGAGCGGTGCGAGGATGCGATCGTGAAGCCGCCCGTTACGAAGCCATCTGTACCAAGCAAGAATCAAGTGAAGAGCATCTCTACCAAAGCTTTTGCTGTCACCGGAAAGGAGTCCTGTGACGTGTGTGGAACTGGAGCCCACCCGAACTTCAAGTGCGAGATCTTCCGAGCGATGACCGTCGTGCAACGCCAAGCCAAGGTAAGAGAGATCAAAGCTTGTTTTAATTGTTTGAAAGTGGGTCATTTAAGTAATTCGTGTACATCGTCATATACGTGTTCTAAATGCAAGGGTAGACACCATACCCTTCTGCATAGGGATAAACCGGTTTTCCAGTCTACCTCGAAATCCAATGTCTCGAACGCTGAATCCCAGTCTGTTTCTGAGGTTTCACCGTCAATTTCGAAGTCTCAACCTTTTCCTGATGTTTCGCAGTCTGTCTTGAAATCGAATGTCCCAAATGTGCAATATCAATCTGTTCCCAAGGAATCCCAGTCCAATAGTGCAGTCTCACGTTCACTGAAGCAACCCCCACGTCTGAGTCATAGTCATAGTTTGTTGATGACCGCTAGGGTTCAGATTAAGGATTCGGATGGAAATCTGAAATACTGTCGAGCATTTTTGGATTGTGGTTCCCAGGCTCACCTTACTTCTCGTAGTCTGGTTAAGTATTTGAATCTACCCCGTTTCTCCACTAACGTTGAGGTAGTCGGAGCAAATGGTCAGCGTTCAACGCTATCTGAGATGGTTAGAATTGAGATACGTTCTTGTAATTCTAACTATGCTGCGCAACTTGAGTGTCTTGTTGCTGACAAAGTTACTGGCCCTATGCCATCTGTTCCATTTGATATAAGGAAGTGGAACATCCCTCCGAATCTTCCACTTGCAGATCCTGAATTTCATATTCCTGGTGAAATTGACTTGCTGATTGGAATTCAGTTGTTTTTCAAATTATTGCTGCCAGGTCAAGTCAAGATGGCTGATGAACTTCCAATCCTCCAAGAAACTCGGCTTGGATGGGTTGTTGCTGGTTCTATCGAAGAGTCTCATGTTGCACAACATTGTTACTCTGTGGGTCTGCAAAGTCTTGCTGATTCTATGGAAAGTTTTTGGTCGATTGAATCCGTGGATTCATGTAATCCTCTCACCAATGAAGAACAGTTGTGCGAAGAAATTTTCTGCTCCACAACCCATCGCGACCAGAATGGTCGTTACATTGTTCAATTGCCCCTGAAAGATTCTATTCATCGGGTAGAAGACAATCGTTCGATTGCTCTTCGTCGATTCTTCATGCTGGAACAACGGTTCCTGAAAAACCCTGAGCTGAAAAAACAATATGCAGAGTTCATCAATGAGTACAAATCCCTCGGTCACTGTATTCAGATTGATGAGTCTCAAGATCCTCCAAAGCTTTTGAAGTATTATGTCCCTCACCATGCGGTTTTGAAGCCTACGAGCTCTTCAACGAAGCTCAGAGTTGTGTTTGATGCTTCATCGAAGGGTAATGGACCTTCCCTGAATGATGCTTTGATGATCGGACCAGTGGTCCAAGATGATATCCTCTCGATCAACCTGCGTTTTCGTAAGCATCGGTTCGCCTTCTCTGCTGACGTTAGTAAAATGTACCGGCAAATAGCACTTGCCAGAATCCACACTTCGTTGCTTCGAATTTTCTGGAGAGAAAATCCAAATGATCCCTTACAAGTTTTGGAATTAACGACAGTAACCTATGGTACATCTTCTGCGCCATTCTTAGCCACAAGGGCACTTCAGCAGCTTGCTATTGATGATGGTGATCAATTTCCGATTGCAGCCAAGATCGTTCTTGAAGATTTTTATGTTGATGATGTTCTGTCTGGGTCTGAAACCATAGAAGGGGCCATCCAATGTCGTCTCGAGCTCACGGAGCTGCTCCGAAAAGGGGGATTTCCCATTCATAAGTGGTGTGCGAATGACTCAGCGATTTTGGAGTCAGTTCCAGAAGAAGAAAGGGAAAGGTTCTTGTCTTTTGAAGATGCGAATATTAACCAGGCCATCAAGACACTTGGACTTCTTTGGGATCCGACTGAGGATGTATACCGATTCCACGTGGAGCTACCAAGTCTTTCCAACTCTCCTCCTACAAAACGGAATGTTCTCTCGCAGATCTCTAAACTATTTGATCCCCTTGGTCTTGTGTCACCTGTAATAATAGTTGCTAAGGTGATAATGCAGCAAATCTGGATGAGTAAGCTGAATTGGGATGATGTTTTGGATGGTCAGTTGATGCAAAATTGGACCATATTTCGTGATTCTCTAAATCACATCCACCAAATAAGAATTCCCCGGTATATGTGTGCCCCTGATGATGTTTATGTTGAAGTTCATGGCTTTGCCGACGCTTCTGCCTATGCGTATGGAGCATGTCTTTATATCCGAACCGTAACCCATGATGGGGTAAAGGTATCTCTTGTCTGTAGTAAGTCGAAGGTCATTCCAATCAAAGGATTGACGATTCCCCGATCCGAACTGTGTGCTGCATTGTTGCTAATCAGATTGGCCATGAAGGTTCTTCCGGCAATTAAGATGAACTTCCACTCAATCCATTATTGGTCGGATAGTCAGATCGTTCTTTCATGGTTAAAAAAGCCTCTATCTCAACTTGATGTTTTTGATCGCAATCGAGTTGCAGAAATTGTTGATCATTCTGTTGATGCTAATTGGAATTACATCAAGTCGTCCGAAAACCCAGCTGATGTTGTCAGTCGTGGTCAACCCTCCCAACTCCTTGCCTCGAACGAACTTTGGTGGAACGGACCTCCGTTTCTGCGAAGTCATAGCTATCAGATTGATGAGCTTAATCCTCTTCCCGATGATAAACTACCGGAATTGAAACCAGTAACCGCGTCTACTGCCGTTCTTGTTCCTGAAACCCTCCCAGTTATGACTGCCTTTAGTTCATTTCGAAAGCTTCAGCGAGTGATTGGATATGTCAGGAGATTTGTTGTAAATGCAAGGTCTCCCAAATCGGAACGCATCACTTCGGAATACCTAACTGTGCGAGAGTTGAAAGAGTCATTGAATTTGATTGTTAAGTATATTCAAGGAGTTGCATTTTCTGACGAAATTCGTCGGCTTGAATCAGGTGAACCTTTGCGTCGACTCAGTAGTCTGAATGTTATTATGAATGATGGTGTGTTGAGAGTGGGTGGAAGACTGAAGCATTCATGTTTGCCATATGGTTCAAGGCACCAAGCCGTACTCCCTGACAAAAACCCAATTGTCGAATCGTTGCTAAGAGCAATGCACTGCGAAATGTTGCACATTGGTCCGTCTGGTCTCGTTTCGTTGGTCCGCCAGAGATTCTGGCTTCTGAATGCTCGTTCTGTTGTCAGGAAAATCATCCGGTCTTGTGTTACATGTTTCCGATCCAATCCGAGGTTGCTCCAAACCTCTCATGGTATTTTCCGCCGCCCAATCTCGAAGTTGGCCCCTTTACCCTTTGATTCAACCCAGCCCTCTGTTGTTCATCAAGTTCCTCTTTGCCCGGGGGGAGAATGTTCGCGATTGAAGCGAACGTAATGTGTTGTAGAAGTAGAAGTAGTAGTTGTTTTGTGTAATCGCCCTAACCACTTACCCAATCCTTTAAAACTCTACTAACCCCGAGGCGACCGCGGGTAATCGGTTTCCGAAACTAACCCTAATGTGCTACATGTGTAATTTGTATCAAGACCCTGAAAACAAGCTTTGATCATTTCCTTACGCTGCCGCTGGCTTGGCACGAGCATGCAAGCAGCAGCACCGACCGAGCGACGAGCGACCGACCGACCACAAACCAACGAGCGTGCAGCGAGTGCTGATTGGTTATGAATGAAGGAGAAATGAATGAATGCAACATCAAGAAGAAGAAAGCCAAACACATTTAAAGCAACGCATTTTGCGCGTCGCTATCATACAGTCCACAAGCTTTGTAAAGCAAACACCGAAATATAGCGCAGTTGAAAGTTTTAATTCATTCTCGTTTTTCCTCTTTGGACAAGCCGAAGCCAAAACAGTCCTTTTCAGGGCTATGAGTTGAATTGAATTTCAGTCGAGCTTTTCGTTGTGTTCCTGTTGGCATTCCCACAGGGGGAATTGGCCAAATCAGCTGGAATCCTCCGAGCCGAGGATTGCCACACCATCTCCAGTGTCCGTGATCGGACACTTGGTATATACAATAAGGTTTATAAAATAAGAATCTCAAAGAATTAAACTTACCTGTGGATAGCTTTCGTAGAAGTGAATGTTTTTCAAAGCTTGTTGCAACACTAATTTGACTGAAATTAAAAGAAAGGCAAACAAAGATGTTTGAGTGTACAGTTACAGTTTATTCTGGAATTCTGTTGCAGCAATGGCATAAGATTTGAAAATCCACAAAAGCCTACATATTCATTCATAACTATCAAACTGTATCGCGAAGCGCATTGCATGTGCCCAATCAATTACTTAGACTCAGACTCATGCCACGTGCTGCACAACCGACTGAATGCTTGTTTCCAATTTCCCATCATGTCGTAGAATGCAGTAACCTCCAACTTGCACTACCGTTATACGCATAAGAGTCCCACGATCCATAAGGATTGCATAGACATTGGGATTGGGACAGTTATGTTTTAACGGCAGCCTAGCGGTAGGTAAAACACTGCGGCTATCAAAATTTGCATATCTTACCAAACTTTCCACCTTTAACCTTTCTTTATCGTGCTTTGTATTTTAATTTGGACCTTCTCTTACATCCAAGGAGGCTTGATTCCTATCGACAGGATGCGACTGGTGAACTTGAAAATCGCATTCCCTTTAGTTCTACTGTTGAATAGCTCCTTTCACCTGATGCCTCTGCCTGGCTGCGCTTGGAACTCAACAGGTGCCTGAGGATGAACCCTGAAGGTAGGTACCTCTAGCTGTATTTTACGAGCAGGTGAAAATACCTCAGACTGACTAAAACTTGATACGTGATATTTTGATTGACGGAATGGGAAACAGCGTGGGGGTGAGCGGCAGAACCGAGTGGGCAATTTCCAATTTATAGAAGAAGTTACACGGTTCTATTTATATAGTTCAAAGGTTAACGTTACGTAGAAACTGTTGTAGAGCGATTGGGTATGGAAATGCAAAATTTTACGTTCGCTTTTGGTCGGGGCACAATCCCGAGGGAGTCGAGCTATAAATCATGGCTTCCAATTGATTCCGGTTACCTATCGTGACGTTGGGAAATAACCAACATGCGCACATAAAATCATGATATGGGGAATCTGTTGACAATTGAAATGCCTTCGATGGTTTTGTGCCTATGGTGGCATTGAGTGTGGTCGATTGGAATCGAACTAACAAAGCGAGGGTAATTTCCAATTTTGAATAATCGGGCCATTGATTGGTGCAGCCAGTAAGTATGAGAACGCTACATAAATAGTACTTACATCGGAAAACGTCGTAGATCATGGAGAAAACTTTCCGCATTTCAAACTCATCGTCAAACGATACTTCGAGGGGAGGCTTTTTCAGTAGTTTACCGGCGCGGGCAATGTCCTCCAGGCGCCACTGGTTGTACTCGTCAATGTTGCAAAAGTCGATCGGATTGTCCGGAAAGCAGCGGCGCCGTTTGCGACGGAATGCTGCCGAGTCCCCGCCGGGCGTTGGCGAGGTGAAGGGCGACACATCTTCGATTGATTTCGCTTTCGATTCCCAGATGGTGGTCTCTTTTAGATCCAGAGAGGTTTTGAGTTGACTGGAAGTTCAGTGGAAATATGCAAATATTTGTAATTGTAGATTTAAGAAATGCCGGGCACGGAGCTGTTTTAAACACAGAATGAGAAAATTCTAATTTGTACATAATTGACCAGGCGTCTCCATCGAAGCTGCACCAGGATGGGTACTAAATTTTAATTTTGGAATTCGCGACTTTTCCCCGGTTTTCCCGTTTCAAACCTTATCAATTTTTCGGTTATTAATATTCATCAACTTTTATTCGAATCTATAAGAACATCACGAAAAATAGATTTTACATGCGAAGAGGTGCAGGGGAACTCGTGGTAAGCACGGCCCGTTAAGCATTAAGACTATTTTAAAATAATTGAGAGCTAATTTGGTTATCTTTCTCATGCAGAGTTCATGTCTAGACTGTTTTGAATAGAAATTATGTGGTAGCAAGGTTTGAATAGGTTATGTTGTTAACTAAACAGTAAGTTTAGTACAAAAAAGTAACAAAAATTTACATATTTATACTTACCTTACCAGCCATCTATTTGTTACAATTTGTTACCCCTAACCTCGAGATAGCCACGAGTAAACGGCCCCGCTTTACTAACGTTAGTTTTAAGTCATTTTGTTATCTAAACAATGAATATCGGCTCCACAAAGCTACATCAAATGAGCCTGGATAAATAAAATATTAAAAAAAAATACTTACCTTAACAATCAGGCTAAGGCCTTGATGTCCTCTGCTGTTCGAAGAAGTCGTCTCCACTCTACTCGATCCATGGCCACGTAGTCTCCGAAGGGTCCGCATGTCGCCTTCTACTTGGTTGATCCACATGGCCCGCTGCGCTTTCAAGAATAATTTTCACTGGGTCGTCGTCCGGCATTCTTACGACGTGCCCAGCCCACCGTAGACGCCCAATTTTTGCAATGTGGACGATGGATGGTTCTCCCAGCAGCTGGTACAGTTTGAGATTCATTCGCCTCCTCTACGTAACTTCACCGTAGATGGTACGCAAAACTTTCCGTTCGAAAACACCTCCACGAGCATAGTCCAGGTCTCGTAGCCGTAGAGCACCACCGGACTAATCAGCGTCTTGTAAGTAGATAGTCAACTTCGACAATTTTATTCGACCGGAGCGTCCTCCGGAGTCCATTCCCTGCCATAATAAGTCTTTGAATTTTTCTGCTGGTATAATTTTTGGCGGTCAATAGTGAGCCTAAATACACGAACTCGTTAACCACCTCGATTTCGTCACCGACAATCTGAACTCGGGGTGGGAGGCTAACATTGTCTTCCCTTGAACCTCTTCCTCTCATGTATTTTGTCTTCGATGCGTTGATGGCAAGTCCAATCCACCTTGCTTCGGCCTTCAGTGTGATGTACGTATGGTGTCGATGTCATCGGCGAAGCCAAGAAGCTGGATGGACTTCCTGAAGATCGTGCCACTCGTGTCTATTCCAGTTCTTCTGATCAGACCTTCTAACCCGATATTAAATAGCAGACACGCCATAGCTGATCGCAATCGATTGTGTTGTATGCGGATTTGAAATCAATGAACAAATGTTGTGTGGGCGGGCACGTTGTATTCGCGGCATTTCTGCAGAACCTGCCGAATCGGGGAAATTTGGTTCGTGGTAGCACGGGCCTGCCCGCCTGCCCACGAGATCTCTTGCAAATGGTGACAGGCGGCGGTATAGAATTTGGGAGAGTACCTTGTAGGCGGCGCTCAGCAGTGTGATCGCGCGGTAGTTGCAGCAATCCAACTTGTCGCCTTTTTTGTAGATTGGGCATACGACACCTTCCATCCACTCCTCCGGTAATATCTCCTCCTCGGAAATTTTGGCAATTACCCAGTGCAGCGCTCTAGCCAGTGCTTCACCACCGTATTTTAATAGCTCACTTGGTAATTGATCTACACCAGTTGCTTTGTTGTTCTTCAGTCGACCGATCTCCTCCTCAACTTCTTGAAGATTAGGGGCCGGTAGCTTGTCTTCTGCGCGTGCTTCAAGGTCTGTTGCCGTGCCACCTTCGTTTTCTGCTGCATCACCGTTGAGGTGCTCGTCATAGTACTGGTTCCACCTCAGACTTGTTCATGAGAAGGTTACCATCCAAGTCCTTGCACATATCGGTTTGCTGCACGAAGAACTTCTGTGTGTCGTTTACGCGGTACAGATTTTCCATCGCCTCGCGATTTCGGTCTTCCTGCTGACGCTTCTTTCTTCGGAAAACCGAGTTTTGTCTGTTCCGCGCTTGTCTGTATCGCTGCACATTCAATCTCGTGCGGTGTTGCAGCATTCTCGCCCGTGCTGCATTCTTCTCCTCTGCTAACAGTTTGCATTCGTCGTCAAACTAGTCATGTCTTCGGTCCGGAATTGCAGTACCTAGTGCCGCTGCAGCAGTACTACCTATGGCGGAACGGATGTTCCTCCAGCCATCTTCAAGAGCAGCTGCGCCAAGCTGCTCTTCCGTGGGTAGTGCAACTTCCAGCTGCTGCGCGTAGTCCTAGGCAACTCCGGCGTCCCGTAGTTGCTCAATGTTGGGTCGCGGCGTTCGACTTCGACGGGCGCATGCATACTGCAACTAGGTAGTGGTCCAAATCTATGTTCGCACTACGGTACGTGCGGACGTTGATAATGTCGGAGAAGAATTTCCCGTCGATTAGAACGTGATCGATTTGGTTTTCTGTGTGTTGGTCAGGTGATCTCCAGGTGGCTTTGTGGATATCCTTGCGGGGGAAAAAGGTACTTCGAACTACCATACCCCGAGAGGCTGCAAAGTTCACGCATCGTTGGCCGTTGTCTTTCGATACGGCATGCAGGCTGTTTGGCCCGATTGCCGGTCTATACATTGCCTCCCGTCCTACCTGAGCGTTCATGTCACCTGCTACAGCTGCGCATAGAACGCTTCTTTCTCGTCGTCGGGTCTCCCTTCGTGTGGGCAGTGCACGTTTATGATACTTTAGTTGAAGAAACGGCCCTTAATCCTTAACTTGCACATCCTCGCGTTGTTCGGCTGCCAACCAATCACGAGTTGGCGCATCTTACCCAGCACTACAAAGCTGGTTCCCAGCTCGTTGGTGGTGCCACAGCTCTGGTAGAAAGTAGCCGCTCGATGCCCGCTTTTCCATACCTTTTGTCCCGTCCAGCAAAGTTCCTGCAGTGCTACGACTTCGAAGTTGCGTGGTTGAAGTTCGTCATAGATTAACCTCTCGCAGTCCGGGAAGCCGAGCGATTTGCAGTTCCATGTTCCGAGTTTCCAATCGTAGTCCTTATTTCGTCGCGCAGGTCTGTGCCGATTATTCCGATCCGTATTTTTTTCTTCAGTATTTGCAACTTTGTTTTTTTTTCAGGGCGGCTTGGCTTGTTGGGCCTGCCCCAACCCCTGTCTCGCCGCGGGACCATCGTGCACAGCTCTGTTTAGAGTCCAACGCTGGCACTAGGACGGTGATCAGCCGCTCCTAACATGGAGAACAGACGCCGTTTTGAGCCGCACCTCCATGGTGAACAGACGCTCGGGTTTGGTGAAGCATTTCCTCTATCACCGTACTATGGTTACCGTGCCAGTGTTCGCGTCGCACCTCTTCACTTTGCTATTGCCGGACTGGCAACATTGCCCAGGCTACGCCACCCAGCTGTGTCCCTGTTTCAGCTGGTAGTCTTTTGTTATCCTATGACTCGGGGAGGCGTGAAGTAGGAACTTGTGAGGACCCGGGCTAGGTATTTCGCTCCTTCCAGGTTGTCAACTCACCATTTTGTAGCTTGACTTTAGCACAAGCTGTTTAAAATACATTTTTTTATTCCTTAGCCAACGAAAAACAAAATGCAGCTGCAAAAAACACAACACATCAGATTTTACCGTGGCCAACATCGACCATATTGTATTGACGTCAATTTAGAATGTATTAACAATAAACAATTATTGTCAATAAAACCAATCGTGTAGGGTCCACTTAAAAAAAATCGAGTGGAGGTGACTAATAGCGCACAGCACAACCTTTTTTTTTGACGTAGGACTACGTCTGTGATTTCTATTTTGGGGGTAAACTTTGTGAAAACCGAAAATGGAACATGTAACGAAATCATGAAAGATTTTGAACGTTAATAACTCAGCTGCCCCTGGACCAATTTCAATAATTTTATCACCAATGGATCAGAGATATTTCTACGCTTCTGTTAAATTAAGGGGGTAGTCCACTCTGAAAATTTCAAAAAATCTTTTTTTTTTTGGCTTAAAAAATACTTTGGAATGTCTACTTTGACATAGACTTGATCGCAAGTCCGCAAGTGACATCGTTCCAAAGTTATAGGCCGATTAGTGGACTCGTGTCCAGACGCTCCAAGCGCGCCCAGGTGAGCGCTCGGAGTACCCGCCCGTTACCGGCGAAACGGCGTGTCTTAGTAGTCTTAGTAGTTAAACGCGATTATCTCTAAACGATGTTTTCAAAATTGGCAGGCGCTGTATTTTAGAAACGGCTCATTCGATTTAAACGGCGATTGAATTTTCGAGTTAAGTACACTGAAGTCTTTTTTTACACGGTTTTTTTTACGCGGTTTTTTTTTACACGGTTTTTTTTACACGTTTTACACGGTACGTTTTTAACGATTTCTCGACAACGATACAACCTATCGACTTGATTCCAATCACATTATCCGTTTCAAGCTATTTGTAATCGAATGGCATACTTAAAAAAAAAATCACAATTTTTGGTGTAAATACAGAATTTTTTAAATATGTCTATATGGACCATATCATGCTTTAATTACAAATGGCATCAAAATCCGATTTTTTTTAAACATTTAAGCATGCGAAAAATCAAAATCTCGTAGGTTTTTTTTTACACGGACCGTATCCCCCGTGTAAAAAAAGACCTGAGTGTACCTTTTTTCTAGTCTTGTACGTAGCCGATTTTCAAAAGAATCAAAATGGATTTTTGGTGCAAGCTTTTATCTCCAATTTTAGGGTACAAAAACGGACTGTTTTTCTCAAAACGATGCCAAATTTTTATTTTTCAACCAAATCAAAAACGG